CAGGTCTCGCGCCACCACCACCACGCTCCCGTTGTGTCGAGGCGCGGGCGGAAGAAGGGCTCCGTGTGGTGGCGCACCATGGTCGACTTCAAGTGGTGGTCCTCCGTGCCGGGATAGGTCACCGGCGCCATGTGCGCCTGCGCCTGGTGCTCGCGCGACTCGTACCGCGCCTGCTGCCGCATTGACCGCTCGGTCCACAGCCACTGGTTCTCGCGGCACTCGATCTGCTCGTCGGCGCACAGGAACGGCTCGCCCTCGGCCTCGGCATAGAGCGTGTCAAGGGCGCGCACCACGCACGACGTTTTGCCCACGCACGCGCTCGCCACGCGCTTCTTGACCGTCGCTGGCGAGGCCTCGCACGCGTCGTGCACCGTGAGCGGCGTCGTCGTGGTGGCGACGTCCTCGCACGAGCCCTCGATGCGGCCGTAGCGCGCCCACACGATCTCGGAGATGATACCGCCGGCGGGGCACTCCAGGTGCACGTTGTCGTCGTCGGTGGCGCCGCGCGCGAACAGCTGCCCTTGGCCGAAGCCGCAGATCTTCTGCGCCCCTGCACACCATCATACCACCGAGAGAACAGTGCACCACCCCCCCAAGTCGGATTATTAAGTACAAAAGTAAATGTGAAAAATGATGTGTAATATATTATGAATATAAAGCTAGAGGGGTGGGGAGTGGTGAGGGGTGGGGGGGGGATAATTACCTTGGAAATGGAGGCAGTTGTCAGAGGCAAAGTCGAGCCACCAGTCGCGCACGAAACCCGTCCCCGTCGAGCCCGCCCGTTGTTGCACGTCGAGCACCCATTCCGCCCGCACAGGCCGGCCCTCCAACGCGCCCAGTGCCGGCACCGTGCTCACCGTGAATTCCTGCGCCACAGTGGCGCCTGCTGCATCGCCCCCGCCCCAGCCCCAGTCGAAATCAAAGGCCAGCCCTCACGCCATCCAAGAAACAAAAAGAAAATAGCAAAAATGAAAAGGACCCAAAAATCCTGGGGTGGTGCGTGGCGTACTGTCAAAGTCCTTGAGGACGATGGTGGTGCTCATGTTGGTGGCGCGAGGCAGCGCGCTCTGCTTGCCCACGCGCGTGAGCGTGATGCGGACGTCGTTGGGCTCGCTGTGCATCAGCACCACGTTGACCGTCATCCCAGCCACGCACTCGGTCTCGCCAACGCCCACCCCAGAAAAGACGAACGTGCAGGGCACATTGCCCACCTTGTCCCATGGCTTGATCGACCTTGTCATCACTCCTGCGTAGTCAATTGCCCCCCCCCGCACCATCACAGTTGTCAATTCAGGGAGAGGGCACGACAGGTGGTGGTGGCTGGTGTTGGTGGGTACGCACCAGCTTTGAGCTCGTCAGTGTGTGCGTCGCAGAAGTAGGGGTCGCTGATGCCCTGGGCGCGCACCGCGTGCACCGAGCCCATGGACACCTGCGACAGCCCGCTCTCGAAGGCCACGCTCACCGTCTGCCGCTGGCTGAACCACCGGCCCTCGATGCGCTCGAACAGGCCCTCGAGCACGCCCAACCTGTCCGCCGCTCCCGTGTTGGGCGACACCTGTTGTGTTGAGCGCGCGCGGGTTGGCGGTTGGTTGCAGCTCAATTGAGAGCGAAGCAGGCGACGAGGGACGAAGCAAACAAAGAGGACGAACGGAGCGAAGAGAAGCGAAGCGGAAGGAGGAACCGTTTGGGCGAGGTTCTTGTCGAAGAGAGGAAGCGCTTCATCGCGATCGCGCAAGCTCTCGGCCCACGAGATGCTCGACTCCGACATTGACCGCACCGGAAGCGCCATGTCGCCCAGACCCTTCACCTCGAAGTTGAGTTCCCTCTGGTTGAGCTGCACGAGCTGGATGTCATTGACAATGGCCAGCACGCGGGCCTTGTAGGTGCCGGCAAAGTCGAACGACATGGTGAACTCGTAATAGGCGCATGCCGGGTCGCGCTCGTTGGTGCGGCACGCCGAGTATCGGAACTGCTTGGCCACGCCTCCGTTCACCCCCACCTGTGTTGTTGTTGTTGTTGTTGTGTGTGTGTGTGTGTGTGTGTGTGTGTGTGTGTGTGTGTGTGTGTGTGTGTGTGTGTGTGGTTGATTGGTTGCGTCGCATGTGTAGCGCGAGTGTGAGAAAAGAGTTGGAAATGAGGGTCACGAGCACAAACCTGGGGCTGGAGCGAAGGGCCGGCTAAAAAGTGAAGGAAGAACAGGTCGGCGTCGTCGCCGCCCACCCGGTTGCGCCCGCGCCTGTCGCACAGGCTCACCCGCACGCTCTGCTCGCGCAGCACCCGCATCTCGCCCCCGTCGGCCTCGTTGCCCACGGCCTTCACGATCGAGCTCGCAATGTCGAGCGGCCCGTAAAGCATGAAGCTGCCCTTGACCTTGGACTCCCTCGACAGGTCGCCGCCCTGGTTGGCCTGCCACACGACGGCCACCGTGAGGTGCGAGAGGTCGGTGTCGGCTTCGTGCTCGCGCATGTAGGCCGCCAGATGGCCGGCGGGCATGATGCACAGGCCTGAGATGGTGAGCGCATCCGACTGAGAAACATGTCGGCCGTCGTAGGGCGTCACCGGACCCGTCCACACGACATCGTCTTGAATCACTTGCCCGTCCACCACCCTATGGTGTTGATATTGTTGGCGGTATTTGGTCAAAACGAAGACGCTGATGCTGACGCCCACACAAGGGCTTGGGGTGTAGGCGGAGGTGGAGGTGGTCGTAAGTGGGCGAAACGTACTTGACTTGGCTGGGCGTGCCGCGTGAGACCCGGCAGAGGGCCGACATCGCCAGTGCGTCCTCAGGGATCACGCGCCCCATCAGGGCTATCGCCGTCTCCGTATCACTCGTGTGGTCGCCTCCCAGGGGCGCCGTGGACTGCAGAATCGGCTCGTCCTTCGAATACTCTGCACACGCACCCACCCACACGCACACGCACACCAAGAGGCGAGTTGGTCAGCAGCCAGTAGGTCGATGCCAGGGGGCGGGCACACGAACCGTTTTGGCACCAGGCGCCGTAGTAGAGCTGAGCGCACACGCACTCGACGTTGGCGATGTCCTTCGACCACCAGCAGGTGCCCCCGTTCTGGCATTCCTGCCCGCACTGGGCGAAGGCCGCCGTTGCGGTGCGCGATAGGCCGAAGCGCGTCTGCACCTGCACTTGCAAGTCGAGCGAGGTCACCACGGCCGACTCGGGCTTGACCAGGTCGCACGTGATCTGCACCGCTGTCGCCCCCAAACGATCGCGCATGCAAGCACAGCAGCACACAACAGGCCAACGTTTCAGGCAAACAACGTTTGTAGAACGCCACGCTGACACGTGTGTTGTCGTGTCTGGGTACCGGAGGCGCGGATGGAGCTAGCGATGCATCCACTGGTGGTGCCACCACCGGTGACCTGCACCACGGGCAGCTCCTGCGAGTCCGGGTTAAGGTCCTTGCCGGTGACGCGCAGCTGCGGCACACCGTTGACCAGAGTGATCGTGGCTGCCGTGATCCGCGGCAGTCCGTCCTGTTGCCCCCGCCCGCCGCAACCCAGCCACACGAGAGTGAGAAATAGGTTGCAAGAAAAAGAAGAAGAAGGTGAACAAGAAGAAGCAGGAAGAAGTGGGAAGAAGACTAGAGTGAGAGTTACCGACAAAGTGGTGGATGCGAGCTTGGTCACGTAGCCTTCGACTGTGGTCGTGCAATACGCATCCCATGGCATGTCCCTGTTGGCGAAGGTCAAGGTCTTGGTAAAGACGATCACATTACCCGTGGCCATGGGCGGGAAGCCGATCTCGCTCTGCACGCGCTGCGAAGGATCGTCGCCGTTAGCCCACACGCACAACTCGCCCGCGGCGTCTTTCTCCCAGGCGTCGATCTTGAGCGTCAGCTGCGAACTCTGTGTCGTGACGTCGGCCTGCCAGTTGAGCTTTTGCTCCCACGGCATGCTGTCGCCGGTATTGCCGGTCACGCACAAGCTCTGTCCGTCTACGATAAAGTTCCACGCCCACTCTTCGTCATTATCGTTGTAGTCCAAGCTGCGGTGATAGGATGACAGATACACGATTGCCCCCCCCCACACACATACACACAGACACACACACAGACACACGACACACAAACAACCGGTCAGGCAGATAGGCGGCTACGTAAAGCCCACCATGAACAAACTGCTTCATCTGGGAAGAAGCGTCAGCAAGTCGGGAAAGGGAAAACGGAAGAGGGGCGTACTGCTGACACCAATAGCTGAGCTGCACCCTTGTGACGGTAATGGTGTAGTCGTCAGCGTGTACGCCGATGATAATAAACAACATCATCACAACCAAACCTATCCACATAAGCCTCCAGAGAACCGGGAGCGCGCCCCCTCGTTCCCCAGTTCCATTCGCCATCGCCAAAGGCCGAAGGAATGACGGCCCTGACGCCGAGGAGGATTGACCTTGCTTTTGGTTTGTTCCCCCTTTTTTGGGGGGGGGCAGGTTGCCGTGAGATGGCTGCGAAACTCTGCCTGCGTGCGGAACTGCTTTCTATTCCTGGTTCCGAACCCGCTTGGCTTGCAACCTTCCGGGCAACCATTATAGGAAAAAAAATCCAGCCTGTCACCAACCGCATGGTTACAAGTGAGGACAACCTAGCTCACCACAAGAGATGTAGTAAACGTGGTAGCAAAATGGCGCACAATGGAACATATTCTTGTTTTATTTTCGTTTTTTTTTTGCTGGTAATCAACCAGGCATGCCGTCACCAGTGGTGGGCTAGATGGGGGGCAGGGCAGGCATTGTCAGGAAATTGCTGGCGAACAACAGAGCGTATTGTTCCGCTGTGTTTTGGTCGAGATCAAGGTAGAAAGTAGGATCCGGTGCGGGTGCGACGCACATCTCATAAAAGTAGGCCTCGAGCTCATAGTAGGCGCCCGGCGCCGAGAAGTTAGGCGGGGCGTACAGCGCCTTGGCCAAACACGAGCGCAGCGGCTTGAGGTAGGGCCGCACTAACGTTTGCGAAAACATCATGCGATCGCACAGCTCCCTGCGGTGGAATGGACGGTTCTGTACCATCGACGTCGTGCTACCAATCATGGGCAACACAAAAGTCACATCTACGCTAACGCAAATCGTGAGCGCAGTCTCGAAGTCTGAGTACGGGATCAGATTGAGAGTTGATTCGCCAGAGCCCGGTTTCAAGGCTGGGGTCGAGTTGCGCAGTGCGCAGCAGCCCTCGAGCTGGCCCACCAGTATGGCGCAGTTGTGGCTGGTGCCGCGGACCGATTGCTTCCACGCCAGCCACGAGTCGTCGGACATCCCTTGCGGTACGTCGCAAGCGTCGGTCAGAGAGAGACCGCATTGAGAGTAGGCATCATCCCAGGAGTCGATCTTGACGAGCCTGTAGCAGGTGCTCCAGACCACGTTCGGGGGGTATTGGTAAGCGGCAATGCCTATGGCCAACGTAACCTTGTCCAATACGTAGGGATAGCTGTCGGCGTCTGCGCCCATGATGATGGATGTGAGGTGACCACATCCATCATCTACGGATAGGCGGATGGGGAGGGAGTACCGATCATGGTCAGGTAGTGGGTAGCCTGCGTAACCGTCAGAGGCGACGTGGGGGCCAAGTTGTACGGCCGAAGAGAGCTGGGGTCATACACGTAGAATCGAACCTGATTAGAGGGGAGGTCTCGCGTCGGTCAGCTTTGATGTCGGAGCTCCAGGGCAGACGCTGAAAGGGGAAAAGATGGGGCGCGAAGGCGATCGCATACCGACTGCGTGCCGTCAGGCTGGGTGGTCATGTCGATGTTCCACAGGTTGGTCCATTCGGTAGACGCGGCAATAGGTGCGGACGCATTGGAAAAAAGCGCCAACACGGGCGGGTTCATGACAGTATGGACCCAGAGCTGACGGTAGGACGCGCCGTCAGGTGCCGGGATTCTAATCCGTGCCTTCTCTTGTTCATTCACTTCAACAATCTCCAGACTTATAGGCCTGATCATGTCTTGTAGAGTGACCGCCGGATCTGCAATGCAAACGCGCACGCACACAGTCAGACCACAGGTAGACGTGGGGAGGAGGACCCTTAGAAAACGCAAGGTAGCGACTCAACGCATGACTTCTTGAGGACTGCGTTTTCTGTAACTGGATCGAAAGCCAAGAACTCGTTCCATACTGTTGTGCCCATCGGCGAAAAATTCTTCCATATGTAAACCGACCTTGATGCGGGCGAGGGCGAGGCTCCTGGAGGGGAGGGCGGCGGTCCTCCTGGAGGGGGTGACGGGGGCGGAGGTCCTCCTGGAGGGGGCGGGGGCGGGGGTACTTGACAGTAGCCGATGGAGACCGCCACAATTACACAGGCCAGTGCCAGACGACACAAGGGAAGTTGCTGACACATGCTTGCTTTGTGGAATGGTTGCGGTGGGCGGCCGAAGAAAGAGGTTCACCTATCCGGCAGGCGGCGAATGGACGGTTCCTTGATTTTTCATTGGACCCTTGACCCAGCCAGCTGACCCCAGAGGACTTTTCCTTCTGAGTTGGACGGTTTCCCTTTTTATAGTCTTTCCTTTTTGGTGGGAGGCAACAAACTGAACTTATGGGACATCTCCTTCTGAGTTTGGTGTTTCCTATTTGCAACATGAGTGGCCCATTTTCCGAGTAACAAGGCAGGGTCGCCAAGAAATGGCCAAGTCGCAGGTGATTGGAGGAAAAGCTCCATTTCGAGATCGTTGCGTTTCAAGATCTCACCAAAAAAAGGAAGTGCCTGGTCTTTGGTTGCAATGGCACCGATTTCAGGCCAGCTCATCTGGGAAGCTGAACGTCCATTTCGGCTAAAGTGCCATGTTCCTCAACATGTTGGCCAACAGTCGGGAATAAGGAAACCCTTCCGTCCCAACTCAGAAGGAGAAGTCCTAAAACCCATGTTTTGGCGGTTGCAGGGAAAAGTGCCTCCGACAGGTGCGCGAGAGTAAGGGCCGAGGGCGATAACGGGCGCAACTTTGGAACCAGGTGTGCTCCTCTGCGACAACTCCCCCCGCAGACACTGGCCCGCTGTGTTCCTTGGGCTTGACCGCGGTCAAGTACCAACGAAAGCCCCACATTTGAAGAATGGTGGTGGGCAGGTTGTGGAGGTTATCTTCGTCCCTACGATTATCACCACTGTGGGGGCCTCTGCTGGTAATCTTGTTTGCTGGTCTCATCGCCGTGTCTCAGGCGGCTGACTACACCGTCACCATCACCGGCCTTCAGATCAGCCCCAACTGTCAAAAGTATGTGTGCATAACCTTACCCTCCCCCCCGCAGTCCCATGGTTTCTTCACTCTGACACCCGGTAATGGGTTTTTTTGTTGTGTGGTTCGTCGTGATCTGTGGTATCCAGCTTTGATGGCGATGATAGCGAAGAGTGGGCGTGGACGTTCAGTGTCGCGGGGCAGAGCGTGTGCTTATCCCGAACCACAAACAACAATCTGCCATGGCAAGCGGCAGTATCTCAGCCCATCGACTTCTCTACAAGCAAGGCCCAGATAAGGCTCAACATCGACGCCTGGGAGAAGGACGCCCCGGGGCCGCCATGCGTTTGGGAGCATGGTGACGAGGCCAGGCAACGCATGCAGGACAACGTCGCTTTCGACCTGCTTTCTCTAAACTTCGGCCAGCAGATCTTCTGGACGCAAAAGCTGATCTTCGTCGACAGGCCCAACATGTCAGGCGACCAGGGCTGTTCGACCGTCATCGAAGGCCAGCTCCTCAAGCGTGATACCAATTACATGGCAACGCCTTCTTCACGCCGTCTTCTGCCGCTTCTTCTAACTCACATCTGACACACGCGACATCGCGCATGCTGCAGGATGGCGGACCTCTAATCAAAGAAGCCTACATCACTACTGGCGCCAACCTCCTGAAGCTCTACATCAACGGCAAGGATCTCAATCCTGACTCGCAGGAGCCGCCCGTCGTACAGATCACTGGCGTTCGCACCGAGTGCATCGCCAGCACCCTCCAGGCCTCTGGTACACGCGACACACACTACACACACGGACAGGAATCAAAATGACACACCGCTCATCTGCCACCAACCACAGCCACGCAGATCTCGTGCAACCTGGTCATGCCCGAGTCGGCCCCCATCACAGCGCTCGACCTCCAGGCGCAAGTGCAGACCCGCTTCGGCCTCTCGCGCTCCGCCAAGGCCTCCTTCTCTGCATGCCCGGGCGGTTGTAAGAACGGGGGAAGCTGCTGGTGGTCGAAGGACAAGGCCGCCACCGAGTGCGTGTGCCCCGAGCGCTATCACGGCGACCAATGCCAAAACGGTTCGTGTCGCTCAGTCCGGTCAATCACACCTCCCCTTCGCCTTTCCTCCACGCTCCTTACCCCCCCCCGATTGCCAGGGCGCTCACCCCCTGGTCTGTGCCGTCGTGTCTGTGTCGTGCGTGCGTGTGTGTCGTGTGTTGTGTGTTGCTTGGTGCGGGCGCTGAACAGTGTACGCCGATGACGAACCGGTGCTGCAGTCCACGGCGCCTCTGGGAGGCGACTACACGCTGGAGGGCGAGACGGTGATCGCTTTGACCGGCCTCGTGATGCCCAAGCCGGAGCTGTTGATGTCGGCCCTCTGCCGGGTCTCTCGCGGCACGCCCGCCGAAGTCAAGTGCGTCTGGCCCCCTTCCCATTCCCCTTGGGCTTGACCAACAACAAACCAAACACCGCCAACACCACCAACACCATAGGGTGGTGGACGGGCAAGTGATTCAAGACGATGTCGTGTGGACGGGTCCGGTGACGCCCTACGACGGCCGACATGTTTCTCAGTCGGATGCGCTCACCATCTCAGGCCTGTGCATCATGCCCGCCGGCCATCTGGCGGCCTACATGCGCGAGCACGAAGCCGACACCGACCTCTCGCACCTCACGGTGGCCGTCGTGTGGCAGGCCAACCAGGGCGGCGACCTGTCGAGGGAGTCCAAGGTCAAGGGCAGCTTCATGCTTTACGGGCCGCTCGACATTGCGAGCTCGATCGTGAAGGCCGTGGGCAACGAGGCCGACGGGGGCGAGATGCGGGTGCTGCGCGAGCAGAGCGTGCGGGTGAGCCTGTGCGACAGGCGCGGGCGCAACCGGGTGGGCGGCGACGACGCCGACCTGTTCTTCCTCGACTTCTTCGCTGGCCCTTCGCTCCAGCCGCGGGTTCCCTGCTTCTCTGTTGCTCACGATCAATGGCACCACGGACACGCATCACACACACACACACACACACACACACACACACACACACACACACACACACACACGACACACACACCACGACCTAGGTGGGGGGTGAACGGAGGCGTGGCCAAGCAGTTCCGATACTCGGCGTGCCGCACCAACGAGCGCGACCCGGCATGCGCCTATTACGAGTTCACCATGTCGTTCGACTTTGCCGGCACCTACAAGGCCAAGGTGATGGCCTTTGCCCAGGCCACTCTGCTCGCCCAGATCCAGAAGGAGCTGGTCTTCAGCGTGCAGGGTCTGGGCGACATGGCCCTGCCGGTGGCGCCCGCATCAGCGTCGAGCATCTCGTGGGCCGAGAGCCTGCGCGATCGCGATGCTGCGCTTCCTCCCTTCGACAAGAACCTCGCCCAAACGGTTCCTCCTTCCTTCCGCTTCGCTTCGCTTCTCTTCGCCCTCCGTCCTCTTTGTTTTGCTTCCTCCCTCGTCGCCTTCTTCGCTCTAACCACCAACCACCAATTTGACAATCATGTGTCGTCGGCCACTGGTGATGCGCGCAACACACAACAGGTGTCGCCCAACACGGGAGCGGCGGACAGGTTGGGCGTGCTCGAGGGCCTGTTCGAGCGCATCGAGGGCCGGTGGTTCAGCCAGCGGCAGACGGTGAGCGTGGCCTTCGAGAGCGGGCTGTCGGAGGTGTCCATGGGCTCGGTGCACGCGGTGCGCGCCCAGGGCATCAGCGACCCCTACTTCTGCGACGCCCACACGGACGAGCTCAAAGCCGGTACACACCACCACCACCACCTGTCGTGCCCTATCGTGTCGTGTCGTGTCGTGTGCTGTCCTGCTGTCTTGCTGCCCAACCATTGGCCTACGCAACCACTGATGGCAATCGTGGACTGGGTGGGGGACGGCGGCGACTACGCAGGAGTGCTGACAAGGTCGATCAAGCCGTGGGACCAGGTGGATAATGTGCCGCGCCAGTTCGTCCTCTCAAGCGTGGGCGTGAGCGAGACTGAGTGCGTGAGCTCGATGACGATCAATGTAGTGCTGATACACAGCCAGCCCTTCGACATCCGAATCACGCTTACGCGCGTGGGCAAGCAGAGCGCGCAGCCCCGCGCCACCAACATGAGCACCACCATCGTCCTCAAGGACTTTGACAGTACGTTCGGCCCTTCCTTTTCTTCTCTTTTTTCTTTTTCTTTTTCTTTTTTATATGTTTGCTTTGTGTTGGTGCAAGATGGGGGGTTGATTGGTACTGCAGGCACTCTGCCGCAGGAATTCACGGTGAGCACGGTGCCGGCACTGGGCTCGTTGGAGGGCCGGCCTGTGCGGGCGGAATGGGTGCTCGACGTCCAGCAGCGGGCGGGCTCGACGGGGAAGGGTTTCGTGCGCGACTGGTGGCTCGACTTTACCTCCGACAACTGCCTCCATTTCCAAGGTATGACCCCCACCCCCCACCCCCACCAATTAAAGCTACAACACACCACACTACACCCCTAAAAGCAAATCTTCTTTTCCATTTCATTCTTAAAATCGTGATCTACTACATTAAATCGGTGGTATGGTGGTCTTCAGGGGCGCAGGGGATCTGCGGCTTCGGCCAAGGGCAGCTGTTCGCGCGCGGCGCCACCGACGACGACAACGTGCACCTGGAGTGCCCCGCCGGCGGTATCATCTCCGAGATCGTGTGGGCGCGCTACGGCCGCATCGAGGGCTCGTGCGAGACGGCCACCACGACGACGCCGCTCACGGTGCACGACGCGTGCGAGGCCTCGCCGCACACCGTCAAGAAGCGCGTGGCGAGCGTGTGCGTGGGCCAAACGTCGTGCGTGGTGCGCGCCCTTGACACGCTCTATGCCGAGGCCGAGGGCGAGCCGTTCCTATGCGCCGACGAGCTAGTCGCGTGTCGCGAAGACCGGTCGCTGCGGGCCGAACGGTCGAGCCGGCGGCAGGCGCGGTACGAGTCGCGCGAGCACCACGCGCAGGCGCACATGGCGCCGGTGACCTATGGCGGCACGGAGGACCACTACTTGAAGTCGACCATGGTGCGCCACCACACGGAGCCCTTCTTCCGCCCGCGCCTCGACAACAACGGCGACAACAGCAACAACGGGAGCGTGGTGGTGGTGGCGCGAGACCTGAGCATGGAGTGCAGCTCGGAGCCGCGGGTGAAGAAGGCGCTCATGGTGCAGGCCCGTTGCAAAGGTGCGCGTATTATGGGTTGCGTGGGTCGTGTTATTTTCTTGGCGTTGACAGTACTCTCGTTGTTTGATAATTCAACGTTGTGTGTGTCGTGTGTCGTGATGTTAGATGCCAACGCGGCGTTCAAGCACACGGACACGCCGGCCGTGGCCAAGAAGATGGTGATGGCGAGCGCGAGCGCCGACTTTGACAACGACTGGAAGGACGAGGTGGTGACCCTGTTTGGATACGAGGGCGGCCCGCTCCACGCCTCCTTCACCGCAGTGGCCGACGGCGAGCCCTCGACAGTGGTGGTGCGCGACCTCATCGTGGGAGGCGGCAGTGGGAGCGGGAACGCGGTGGTGCTGGGCGAGGGCGGGCACATCGAGATGGCGACGGGCGACTTTGACAACGACGGCTACCCCGAGCTGGCCTTCGCCTTCCTCGACGCCAGCAGCAGCGGCGGCGGCGGAGGAGCGCTCAAGGTGTTCTTGTGGGACCTGCGCATGGAGTCGGCCGAGGTGTGGGGCAGCGGCGTGGCCAAGGCCAACCTGGCCGACCTGCAGCCGTGCGAGGGGTGCTTTGCGGAGGAGAGCGAGAAGCTGCGGGCTCTGTTCGCCACGGCGGTCGAGGTGGCGGTGGCGGGGCGCCCGACCTACCCGATCGTGCTCACGGACGCAGCGGCGACGGCGGCCGGTGTGGAGAGCGGGAGCCGGCTGGACGCGGGCGGGTTCGGCTACTCGCTGGCGGCAGCCAAGGTCAACGCTCTGCCCTCCATGGTACGCACCGACCCGCCCCCTCTCTCTTGATTGATTTTCCCGCTTCTCACGGCACACGACACGACACGACACGACCAACGACACGACAGCTGGCGGTGGCGTGGATCGCCGATCGGAGCACGGTCTCGTGGGCGCTCTTCCGCCAGACGTCGCAGTCATCGGCGGCCATGGTGTCGGCCGAGCCGCACTCGCTGGTCTCGCTGCGGCAGCCGCACGCCGTGGCAGTCAACCTGGGCGACTACGAGGGCTCGGGCCTGGCCGAGCTGGCGCTGGGCATCGTCGACGACAACGAGGTCACGCTCTACCTGTACGCCATCGACGAGCTCACCGTGGGCAGCTTGCCCATGGCGCTCCAGAAGACGCTGCCCATCGCGCAGGCGCCCTGGTTGGACACCGCCCAACACAAGTACTCCCGCCACTACTCCCACCCACCCACCCACCCACCCACCACGGTCATTGCTGATGCCACACGGCACACATGGCACACAGCTTGCGGATGGTGTCGGGCGACCTGAACAACGACGGCGACG